CCAGTGACTTTTGCTTACCTTTAGTTTATTATGTTTTCTTTCCTTTACGCTTACTAACATCGCTTTGGTCTTTATTTCTCACTACATTTCATTGTCACTTCTTCGATTTGTTCCTTGCTTGGGAGTCCCTTGCGGATTACTAGAGATAGTTATGCGCTCCAAATATTTATGTATGCTTTAATGTATGTGTCATGTGTAGTTGTGGTATGCGGTTGTGCTACTGAGAGTGTCTTCTCTTATTCATAGAGTTCGTCGTACTTACAGGATGTTAACGTGTGCAAAATGCTGACACGTGCACTAACAATAAACTATTTGCAATCACAAAAACAATGATTTGTTCGAATTATTATTATTTCATCTCATTGTTGTTTTTGTTGTTGTTGGTGGTGGTGATTTACGCGTCTTAGGTCATATTACACACTGCTGACACTAGTTTTATGGCATCTACAAGCCACGTTTGTCACATAAAGCAGCTTTGTGAAGAACCCATCGCCCTCTCTGCACTCGCCGGTTGTTACCGCAGCACGCACTATCGCATACCGATCCCAACTCACACTCATCCCGTTGACCGAAGGCACTGCAGCGCTTTCACCACGTAGCGACCACAAACAATAGTTTATTGCAGAAATCACAAATTGTACCTTGAAATCCTCTATCAGACGAAGAAGAGCCGCTTCTGGCTGCTTGTTGTTCCTCCTTAGCCACACACATCAGCCACCTTGAGTGGTTTGTGGCTGTCAGTCACATCCAGTATGCTGCGAATGCACAGTTCGCAAAGCAAATATTTTCTCCCTCCGTTTCACATTCGCCTTTTTTCAGTGGGAATATTGGCTGGTGAGTTTGGTGCGCGTGGCGTGGCGTATCCAGTTCTGTTCCTCTATAACCGTGTATTTGTGGATCAAATGTTGTCTTCCGACCAACCGTTGAATCTTTCTCTATCTGATCGGTTTATGCCTAATCCGGCTCTAAGCCAAAATTATTTGCTGGGCACCACAGACAAAAGACTAAGCGATTATGAAAATGGGGAGAAAGTTTTTTTTGCAAAATTCAAGATTGAAATTGATTCCTAAATTTGGTGTAGAAAGCACCTCTGCTTCGATTACAGTATTTTCGATGCTAGATCAAAATAGTTCAAACGAAAGTAATTTTCTTTGATAATATACTTCACTAAGCTTTTCTAGAGCGTGCCCACGTTGATTCGTTGAGCGTTTCGATTTTGTGAGTTCACGAAGTAAACTGATTAATCTGATCAAACCTTTTAAGTAACTTGCAGGGAATTTTTTTTAACTCTTTAATATCAGTTATGATTTGAAAGGCATCTGTTCTCCAAATATTGGTTTCTGGCAGTTCACAGTTTCCTTATTCTTTTTGAAGCTACTGGTCAATTGAAGGTTGATTGATTGTTCTTTCCTTAATTTCCCACTGCTGTTTGTTAGTCTCGTGTGATTTCACTTTTCTCTAGAAATCTTCATAAGCACTTCATTTCTCGCAGTGTACCCTCCCTGCTCTGCCGCAAATTTGTTGACATGCTTCATCATTTTTATGCCTAGAGCAGCATATTTTTCGTACGTTTTATTATCTTCGAATGTCTCCATTCAAAGTGAGTAGCGCCTGTGACCCAATAAACGAACTACGCTACCCCCAACCAGATAAACAACGGAGCAAGCAACAAAACAGCTGTCAACCAAATCACCTATCAAACAAATCAACAGCCAAATAAAGTTTACAATAGAATATACTTTTCATAGCTTCTCTGAGCTTCTGGTGGACGAGAAATAGTCTTGTTGTTAAGTGATTGCAAGCTTCTCACCCTTTCAACGACAGGCACACAGACAGAAGCTTATTTCAAATCATATCGTGAAATATGCTCACATATACTCCCATTGTATTGTACGTAACTAAGGTTTGAGTTGCGGAAAATGACAAGGACTTTTTTGAAATTGTTGCAGATTCGACGTTGGAGATGTGGAAAAACTGCGATGCCGAGGACACAACAGTCTATTAAGTGTTGATGAAAATAATGTTTCAATGTTTATTTACTTTTCGCACCAGAGAATAAATTGGCTTCTTAATTAAAATTTTTCGGATACCGAACTCATGCTTTCCGATACCTCGGTCGCTCGTTACCAGCTTGCAGGTAATTGGTTTTGGGATCCTGCAACAGGAAATTTTTTCTCCCATTTTTTAAGGCGCATTATTTGAAAAACTTCGTGCCTATTTCACATAGTCCCGAAGTTATATATTTTGCCAAGCCCGAAATTTCGAGTTTTCCCAAATTCGTTCAGAATATGAAAACTCATCAAAGAATCAACATTTTTTTAAAGATAAATAATTTATGCGCATAAATATGCTATTGTACCTCAGAATACTATACACATGTGTTCATATATTTACACACTGATCACATATGTATCGTGTATACATGTGTATGTATGTGCTTGCCACAGGGATAACTGCCTGCCTTGGTCTGTACCACATTTCCTTTGCTTCCGCATTTTTCTTTGATGTCATTTAATTTTGTTCGGCTTCCTTATAATTTTATTCCACAGCAAACATACTCACGCACATACACGCACACATCACTTTGTAATACATATGTACACTACATATATACACTACATATATGTATATTATTTGTTCATTTCCTAGCGCTGAATATCATCTTTTCATGGCTTCGTTTCCATTTTCATTCACATTTCACTTTGATTTGCTCTTTGCCCGTTCGCAGTGCTTGCTTCTTATTCTACTGATTTGCTCCGTTACATTGTTGCTGCTGACAACCCGAATGTCATTGTCATGCATAGAAGTCACCGCTGCTGCTGCTGCTGCTTCTTCTGCTCGTTAATTTCGACATAACAATATGTTGTCAACGCTGCGTTTTATTTCGACTCATTGAAATTAAGAAATTCTTGTCGTTTTCAATATGCGATGGAGCTCTCAACCGGCTCCCTCCCCCGCGCTTTCCACGAATTTTCTCGCGTTGCTCTTAAGCATTGTACACTTGACAGTCTTAAAAGGACATTTTTATCGAAATTCATCGCATACCAATCTCGGCTGGCATACGTAATGAAAAAGGAAATATTGTATGAGAAAAACAAAAGTAAAATGAAAAAGAAAAAGAAAAACAAGAAATATTTAACATTTCAATCAAAAAGATTTGGAAATGAAGGCTCATTTTATCTAGCATCTTCTTCGTACTAGAAATATTTTACTCTTTTATTTTGTAGCTGATCACATAAGAGAAGTGTGAAAAAGTTACTTTGAGCTTTTCTTCCTAGGCAATAACAACACTGTTACTGATTGACAGATGCCAGTTTGGCTCTCTCTCTCTCTCTCTTCCACTTTAAACGAATTTCAAACGGCAGGTGTCGCTTAAAACTATTTCCACATCGAGAAGTGAACGAGGAAGTTAAAGCTTTTAATAAGAATGTGCTCAAGGAATAATGCTTGCAAGTTCATTCTCTCTAAATTTGCACTCTATTCTCTCCACCCTTACAGTATTGAGTTCACAAAATTTTCCCCGGGGCAAAAAATCCGTTCTTACATTTAAAAAGAGCATTTTGCTTCGGAAAATTGGAGATGATTGGTGAAGATAAGACGTTTTTCTAAATTTCGGCCGGTAATGGGAAGAAACTCATTAAGGATATTACTTTGGTTAATCAAGGAGATTCTCTGTCTATCTCTCTTGTCTCTCTATCTTTCCAATTCTCTACCTCTCTTGCCCTTCTCCCTTTTATCCCTCTCTTCATCCATCTCTAAAATCTGAAAGACAGGTGGCATGCATTGATATCAGAACCCATCTCATTTATAAAAAAATTACCGAAATTATTTTCGACAATAAAAATATATTCCACCAACAACATATGTAGATGACTGTATTGAAATGCGATTGCAGCAACAACCAATGCAACGCAGTGACTGAATCCGCATTCGCTGAGTGTTTGTTGTTGAGCGCTAATCGAGTGCTGTGTAAACAAAAACGCCGGCAGCCACAGGAATAGCAACAACAAAAACTTGCAACCATTGCTAGCAACACGTTAAAATCAGCAAATCGTATAAAATCCGCGGCAGGAACACCAATCCAGAAATCATGAGCAAAAAATATAAAATTTTATCGATAAATAAAAAAAATGATGGAAAAACTAACATCCACTCAGCCGCAAACTGCGTTGGTTAATTAAGTGTTTGTTAAAAAAAAAAAAACTGCAGAAAAAATTTGTGACAAAAAATATTTTAAAAAATATCACAGCAAATGCGATTTGCTTATGCAAAATCAAGTGTAAAAATAAAAATCAAATTTGCCAACTCACACAACTGCACACCGCTGATTTCAACCCTTTTTTGCAATTGAGAAAAGAGGACAAAATCACAAACTGTCGTTGCAGCCCATCAACAGCTGCTGACATAAAAAAATTGCTTGGAGCAAAAAGTGCATTATAAGTGGCTGCATGACGAGCAGGCGGAGTAGGGAAAGAGCTTTCGAAAAAATTCAAAAAATTGCCGTAATTTCGAATTATCCAGACTTAAATTTTTTTCATAATTTTTCCCCAGCACTCCTCAGCGAGGTCACGCTGTATTAACGACGCGGGCGGCGATGGAAAAAAATTTAAAGGCAAATAAATTGTTTTTGTGTGTTTTGCCATACAACAACAGCACTTGAAGCAGAAATTAATGCACTGCTCAATGCAGCAATGCATAAATGACTCAATGAGTGAATGCAAAGCTTGGCTGAATGAACGAGTGAGTAGCTGAGCGCTGAGCGCATGCATGCTTAAGTGTCTACTGCCGCAAAAAAAAAAAAAATATTAAAATGAAATAAAAATAAAATAAAATTAAGCAATAAAAAACCAAAAGCCGCAGGCGAAAATCCAAACCGAAAACCAAATTTCGTGCGCGTTGATGCCACTCAACTGTGTGCGGCGACAGCAGGCGAAGCGCAGCAACGACAGGATATCAAGTAGAATGCATACTTAAGTGCATGTATACGTATATATACATACCTATGTATGTATGTCTGTTTCTGTGCATGTGTGCATACTTAATGACATCAGCAATTTGTTTTCTTTTCTCTTCTTTTTTAGTGCAAACATTCCACTTGCGAATGTATTTTGCGGCTGCTTAAGTAGCTGCTGCTCCCGGAATTGCATATCTGGCTGTGGTTGCTGCTGCTGTTGGTTGCAATAAAGTCAAAATAATCGAAAACACTTCAAAAAATAAACAAATTCACGAAATCAAAAATTTCCTATCAAAATTGTGTCTTTAAATTTTGTAGAAACTTTTTTTCTCATGCCCTCAAATACAATTTATTCGCAGTCAACTAAGAAAATCTGTAAGAACTTGTATGGATCAAACTTAAGAGGGATATTTGTAGAAATTTTAACTTTCCTTGTCCAACAAATCGCAAAACGAAGTTCATCTATATTTGCTCTCCCGCATAGCGGTTGTGTTACTCGCACGCGTTCCAAAATTGAAAATTGACTTTTCCACAGTGTAATCGCTTCCTCTTACACAACGAACGATCTTAACCAGATAAAGGATAACATTAAGAATTCAGCTACAAGTGAAAAGGGATTGATTGCGCCACCTACTATCATCGTTATTGTTTAAGAGATTTTCCCACTCCCCCACCTCGCTTGGCGAGTGCAATTTAGAATTTTTGCTAGCAGAGATCTGTCGAAAGCTTCCTGAATTAAGCTGTATAGATTGCACCTCACACATACCTTCCCCATTTCAGCTTTCAGATTAGATGTTGTCCTAGCGCCAAAGTAGGTCCAGAGAAACGGCTGACTCATCAATGTCGTCCACCGCTAAGAGCTCACCACACATCACCCAAAATAAGTGTATGTATGCAAAGAAAGATGTATCCCAACCACCGGCGCATTTTTATTCACATTTATATGTTAATTTATGTATGGATTCTTGTGTGCTTACCGACACCGTTGAGTGCACTTGAAATTTCAACCAACAGCTATAGAATTGCAACAGACCGAGCGACATAGCCACTGTTGGTATATGCACATGGGCGCGTACATATGTGCGTATACATACATATATATGTATGTATATGTGTTAAAATACATATCAGCATACCAATCGACAGGGAAAGGTACTCGAACAGCTGTTTTTTTTTAATAATAAAATACATCGACATTCATACATAAGAAGATATGTAGATATGTAAAAGACTATAAATAAAAGGATACAGCAAGGCAAGGGCAATGTGGAAAAAAAGTTATAAAATACAATAAGTACAATAAAAATTTGAAAGAAACAGTTTTGTATGCTAAAATATGTACTCGTATTATATAGTGTATGTGCATAAGTATGTGCAGTCGTATTTGTAAGTAAATAAATATAATTTTTAGCATTTTTAGGCTGCTTATTGAATGAAACCGAAGTCCTCTTCGTATGTTTCGTTGCCGCATAAAAAGTTCTGGTCAGACGTCCCTGTGTCAATATCTCGGTTTCCGCTTCCAAAAAAAAAAATTGTTTCATAATTTCAGCCTTTAAGTTTTATAGAACAAGATTTTAATCTAGTTTTTTTTCTTTGTATATGTATACTTAATAACATTTTTTATATTATTTTAATGTTTCAAACAGATGGCAACCATACTAGAAAAATTTTTAAGGATCTTTCGTTTAAGCTACTTATACTTATAAATATACATTTTATTTTTTAACATTTTATTTTTTTAACGAGGTGGCAACCGTAATAAAAATTAATTTTTCATTGCAGGCACGCTTCAGTCACTTAACTTGCATAGCCAATAATTGTATACGTTAATTGAGATGCCATCAACTAAATTAAATAAAAATTGACAAGTGGCAACCGTCTTCAAAAATAATTTCATTAAAAACCTTTTCAAGTACTCAATAGCCACTTATATTCTTTACATAATAAATTGTTTGTTTCATCAAATTTATTTATCACCTAAATCAAAATAGGTGGCAACTCGAGAGGAAAATATTTCTTGCTGCGAGCTTTCCAATGTATGCATGTTTAAGAAGTTATTTAATTTATTTCATTATATTTATTTAAAATAAAGTATTAAAAAGGTGGCAACCCCTTTTCGAAGAAACATTCAGTTTTAGGTTCAAATAGGTGACAACACTTTTCACATTTTCTTTGGGTAAATTTATTTTGTTCAGCTGAAAAAATTTCAAGAAATGGCAACCCTGAAACTTTTTTACTTTCCCATTTTTATTGGTTATTTTTGAAAATTTATTTGCCGTGCCAGGCACAGCTCGGCACTGTAAATAATTTGCAGCCGTTACCTGAAATGAAATGGAATTTTTTCCGAGGCAAGTTTTCGTCCGTATTTTTATTATTCCTCCACTATTTCACTTATTGCGTTTCCTTCGCTGCCTGCATGCAAAAATGCATATATATATACACATATGAGTATATATTTATCTACATATTGGAGGACGTCCTTTTTCCCACACATTTTTGAGGTATTTTTATGCGAGTTTTGTTTTTATTTTTGGTTGTACTTCGTGAATTTTTTTCGCTTTTTTCTTCTTATTTATCGATTCATCACATTCCACGCGCATACTCATACATACAAACACAGCGCATACATATGTATGTAAATTTGTATGCCTACAGATATTTGTGGCTCCGAAAAAAAGGCATGACTGCAGGAAATGCATAAACAACAAGGACATGTGCATGTGCCAAGCAAGGACATACATAACAAACGATACACACACACGATACACACACATGCATATAAAGGCTCTTGCTATTTTCGTTCCGTGTTGAACGGTGTTGAAGCGCAAATATCCGCCGAACGCGTCGCAGTTGCATTTAAGCTTAACAACACCAGCAGCAACAACAACAGAAAAATTGTTTTTTTGTTTATTTATATTTCGCCTACATTTTTCTTCGCTTTTTGGCGGCTGTGTTCGTCCATTCGTAAGAACCCCAAGTAACGCCCGGCATTCATTCAGGCTCTCAGCCATCGCTTCATCCAGTCCGCCGCTCTGCCTTGGCGTCGGGGGTGTTGTTGTTGCTTTTAAAAATATGCGCACACCTTGCAGCAGGCAATAACATTAAATATAACAACACACAAGCAACAACAACTACAACAATGATAGTGTTTCACTGCAGACGGACAAAGGCCGGAGAGCAGCCGCAACTCAGCAAACGCTAGTCATTGCTTAATGAAGCCGCATTAGCGATGAGAACGTTGGCGTCGACGGCGGCTATTCACTGAACAACACGAACATCGCACCCACACAGATACACGCACGCCGGCATACGATAAGCACATATTTATGTTTCGTATTAACAAATGTGCAGTCTCACATGCATGATGAGATTCGAGGCATCTCGCCTCAGCTCAGTGAACGGGTCTCCTCCCTGGAGCCGTGTCCGGGTCGAGCGTTGGTGATGACTGGGAGGCGGCTGCTGTTGCATTTTTAGCTGGCCTACAATGTTGTTGTGCTCACACACAGCCAGACTCGCACATTCTCGAAATTCTCTATACCCACACTTACACACACACACACATACGCACACATGCATATGCCGCTGGACGTCGGTGGACTCATTGCGGTTGGCATATTTCACTGGAAAATGTTAATTTCGGTTCTTAATTAAGACTTCCATTTCCACCGCAGACTCGCCTGAATACATACGTTCATACATACGCACATATCCATAGTTGTATGTGTGTTTGTGTGTGCCTGCATGCGCAACGCTTTTAGCAAAATGAGAATTTCTACTGTTAAGAATTTGGAATACGCAGATAATTTCGAAATTGAGCGGGCTCAGAAAAACGTTTATGGACGTATGGGTGTGCATATGTATGTATGTATGCATGTAAAATATACATTTAAAAATATTAAAGCTACGAGGACGACTAAAACAACGAGAAGCTGAAATCTGCTGACCTGAGGGTAGAAAAGAGTGGATTGCCATAGAAGACTCCGTGGGACCGAATAAGACACTCTGAAGTATTGCTTTTAGCAAGGCGGATGGGCAAGAATTGAACCCAGTACACTTTATAACGGAATGTTAATGAATAACACATATAAATGTAAAATATGAACTATAAAACACTGAAAATGTGCTATAAAACGAGTGTAGTTCCAGCTAAAAATTTCCGGGTTGCCACATATTTGGTAGTATGGAAACATACGAAAAAAGAGCCACACAATGCAAATATTGTCCTGAAATAGTTTTGAGAGAGCAACAGCCAAAAATATTAATATTTTCAGTAAGGTTGCCACATGCTTGGAATTTTCAATTAAGTCATTTATTTTAACATATTTAATAATCCAATATCTACCGACGTCCTGCAATGTAATTAACAAATGAAAGTGGAGGAAATACTCGTTTACTGCTTACATATATTTTAAGAGAGTTGCCACTTTTTTATATAAGTTCAAAAGATCATAACACATATAAAATAAACGATTTGTTATAAAACTACCGAGGTTAAGTTTAACGGCTGCCACCGGAATTCAAATATGTGAGCTGCTTAAATTTTTGACTTGGAATTTAAAGTTACAGCATTTGATATTGCTTCTAGAAGGGTTGCCACCCGTTCAGAAAACGAACAAACAAATTTTAGTCGTAGATCGTATAGATTTATGAGGTTGGGTTTTCCAATCTTTCATTTTCACTATTAATTTTTAAAAGGTGCTGCCACCCGTTTACAATTTTCTGATAAATAAATTTGAGTTGATGAAACAAATAATCGAACGTTGTAACTTTGAAGTATTTGCTATGAATTTTTCAGGCATTGCGTTGCCACCTGTTTACAATGAACAAAATACTTGTGGGTTTTCTTATTTTAGTATGAAAATTTTTCACTAGATGAAGCATAAATCATAACTTCCAAAAATATCGCTAATATTTGAGCCCCTCATAGAGCGATTATTACAATGTACATATATATATATATATATACACATATATATATATTTTTACATAAATAAATGTTTTTATATTTATGTGTATATACTTTATCCACCACCAGAGACAACAAAGTAGTTTTCTACTCCCCGATCCTTCCATTTTTAGTAAAGATAACAATGGCATGCCACCTAATCAGCGGTGTTTAATTTCAGGGCAG